GGCCGAACCTCTACCAACTGGACTATATCTAAACTGTTATAATATAGCAGTAAAGGCAATGCAATAAATAATAATGATAAAATACCTGTCTTTGCAAATCTAAAGCTATTGATCTGTCACCTGAATTTTGACGTAAAAACGTCAGAATTTGTGCAAAAGATAACCATTTGAATTATCTGATACCATAGCTTATATACTTAATGGATAGAACAAATGACTATATATAAGCTACGCTATCAGATAGGTCAAAGTAAGAGCTGATTTGGCTGACTTTTCTCCACACATTTTGACGTTTTGAAACAGTCAGATCTAGGTGACAGGTGACAGCGCAATCAATAACCGTATATTTAGAGAGTTAGGTATTTCTCATTATTTATGGCATTAATTACAAACTAAATTATATTCGAGATATTTACAAAAATCTGGTCCTTATAAATATTGTATAAAATAAATACATTAAAACAAAAGTGCAACCAAGAAACATTTATTCATAAAAAAAATAACTAAATTAGAGAAGTATAAAACATCAATTCACAAAAGATAATCTTTTCTTGTTCGATCTTATTTGATTATGGATCCACGTCTTAATCTGTGGTGACGTTCGGTTTTGAAGGACAGGAGTTTCTTTAACAACTTCCTGTAATACTGTGAAGGTAATACTTTCTTTTCGAGATATTGCCCAAAAATACGGTGAATGGCATTTTTTTCATCCTCACTCCATCTTACCTTTTTAGATGATCCTTTACGCGCAACACCTATATGAATTGAAATATCAGAATGTTAAGGCAGAATCAAAAAGTTAAGGCTAATAAAGAGATTACTGATAATTTGAAACACTTGCACATTTAAGAATATGTGCCTATTATTTCACTATGGTTTTTATCTTCCAGCACTATTAATTTTAAAATTGTTAATGGAATGTGTATTAAAAGTATGTACATTTCAGTTAATATTATGTGAATAGTTTTAATCATATTCTCATAACCCAAAATTGAAATTTAGAAATTTGTATATTTTCAAACTATCTTAAAAACAATTATTTTGTACATTTCCTGGTTTAAATATGCAAAATTATAAACTTACTATTTCTATTTGTTTTTACAGATGTAGAATTCACAGGAGTGACTGGATTTGGATCTTCTACTGATTTATATCCAAATGATTCTTCGTTTTCAATGTCGTCATCAGAGTCATTATCATCGCTATCGTTTTCTATATTAGCACCTTGAGCTGCTTCTAGTAGTTTCGATATGCCTAAAATTTCCCTGCTTGCAATTGGTTGTCTATATATTCCTTTATGGATATTTTCTGAATGACCCATAAAATTTGACAAGTCAGTAATATCTTGATCCTGTAAATTCAGCGTAATGCAGATAGTGGCAATATGTTTTCGTAAATTAGTTCCCCGTAACCTTTCCGGATGTTCTGCACCACAAGCTTCCGAAAATTTACGCATTAAAATACAAGCCTGAAGATGTGAATACTGTTTATGATATCCCGGCACTCCAAAAACATATGGATTATTAATGGACACGCCAACCTTCCTTCTGTATTTGATTATTAATTTGATACATTCCAATAAATTAGTATCTAGAAGGACCGGAACTGTTCTATTCAATTTTCCTCTTATTGTAAATCTTATATATTTCTTTGCAATTTCTTTTGATGTATGAGACAGTGACTTAAATAAATCTGCATTACTTTCTTCGATAGTTTGGAATGTTTCAAAATCTTCTATTAATATTCTTTCCACTTCGCCTGCTCTTCGCCTGTTAAACAATTGTACAGACGTCAAGGTGAATTCTGCCAGTTTAAACCAGGTTACCAGTGAGATGTTCTGTTTAAAATCATTGAATGCCTTTTTTCGTTCAATAGACAGGTAATCACGTAGTTTTTTAATATCATCCATTGATGGCAATAGAATTCTTTTTCTTCTTCGCATCTTCAATTGTGTTTCAGCAACGGTTCTGTTGACGTTAATATTAACTTCCTCATTAAAGACTTTTAAAAAATCTTTGGTATTTTTTTAATCAATTCGTTGTGATTTTTTATACAGTGAATTATCAAAATATTTCCAATTTGTTTAAATAACCTGCCTAAACTGAAGGCCACTGTGGGCGCTTTATAGTCGTTGGTACTTTCCGTATATCCTGCACACTTATTAATTGCAGTTAGTACGTCCTCCACAAATTTTGGGTCATAAATACAAGTTAAATTTGATATGTTACTATTCAAATCTTTAATATTAATCAGGAACTTTCCCAATAACCTCAACCTTTGTCTGATCATTTGGAAATGTCTCTTTTCTCTATATTTTTCTACCATTTTATTGGCATAAGTGATAACTGATAACAGAAAAAAAAAATATAAGAAAAAATGTCATAGGGGTTGATTATTTCAACCCCTTACAAAAATAGTTCAGGGTTGAAAAAAATTCAAAAAGTGTAGTTTTATTGACAGATAATGTTCACCAAGTTTGGTTTCTTTAGCTTGATGTACGTGGAAGATAAAAAAGAAAAACAATTTTTTTTTGTAATTTTAGGAGGGGCGTAACTTTTCAGGGGAGGGTTTTTTCAAAAAATTTTATACCAAAGACCCCTATTAATTTTCATCGGAGAATCGCCCCTTGAATTTTTTCGGTGTTATTTAGATACACCCTGTATAT